AAAAAAAAAAGGAAATCCACACACGCTTCCCACTCGCTCTCACAGAGGCAACTGCTGCCCCTCGCCGAGAATGAACCGAGGGCACCTGTCTTACAACTGCTTTCCATCACATGACAAAGCTATTAAAAGTAGGCAGGGGAGTGACTCCGCGTCCACACACTACTCGCCAGTGACGCGCGCTGAGCAGGCGGGGTCTGGCTGCGCACATAGTAAAATCCTTTCCGTGCACTGCAAAAAATGCCAAACTCAAAACCCATCTATCCATATGCCGGGAGGGGGGCGGGGGGGGGTGGCATTATGAAAATAGGTTAAGAAGGGTGGTTCGTGGGATTTGCACAGACTAAAAAGAGCAGTCCTTAATTCAATTTACTTGCTTTACTGGAAGATTAACTAGAAAGAAATCAGTAAGATTCTGGATGTGAACTTGTGTCTCAGCCTCGTGATCTCAGTTTGTTTGCAAATGTGCAAGGCATATTGATATTACAATTCTTCTGCAGCAACTTAATAGTAACTGTATCACTGATTCCAGGAAAACTTGGAGACCATATAATGGAGAAAGCACAAGTCAAATGATGTCTCACCAGCACTGTAAAGCACAATTTAATGAGTTTAAGCACCAGTGCAATCTGTCATATTAAGTTTCAGCTTTGTAATTATAGGGTTTTTTTTCTCCACAATAAGCAAAGAACATATTGCATTTTCTGCTGCATGAAACGATTGTTCATTTAAAGTACTTTCTCAGCCTGATCTATTCCCGTTTTACAACCCCTCCCCATGCCCCCGGCTCTCTTTTTCCCCCCTGCAGACATGCTACTGTGATATGCGCAGAATGTGGTTTGGCACCGTCTTACTGAAATAAGCCAGTCTCTGCCTAAAAGATATGTCATCTAGTCGGCAGCACATGCTGATCCGAATCCTGCAGAGACTGTTCAGCGTTAATGGTGCCCTCGCAGATGTGCATGCTCATGCACACCTACATCAAGATAACAAAGCTGCAGGATTTCGGGTTGGAGGATGCAGTGTCCATGATTTTCAGAAAGAACCTCTAATCCTGAACCATCATACCGCAGGATGATTTCCTGACGCCCTCAGAGTACATTTTTAAATAAGGCTGTTGCGCGTGTTGTCCTTTCAACCTTGTTTATGTGTTTCTTTTCTTTCTTCACTGACAGTGATTCTCAGAGGTTTTTCTCAACTTCATGCAGCAACGCAGCCATAAAAAAAATTGGCTTTCGGTCTTGCCAGCTAAATCCAATAATGGAATTATAATTAGGGGATAATAATAATGATATTAGAATGTTTAAATGTTTGAATTACTGAAAATGTTCTGAAATTGCTGCACTCTTTGGTTGTGCAGAGTGATAAACTGTTCCCGTCTTTACTTCGTAGAATAGACTAGAATTTATTGTCATTACCAAACATTTATCATGCAGTGCAGTCATATATGGTTTGCAGTTCTACATGTGTTCAAAAGATTAAGCTAAAGGTATAAAAATAAACATAAATAGTAAGAAAGAAAATGCAACAATACTGTGCAGAGGTTCAGCAGCATGTGGTGTGAAAATGCACAGCGGCTGATATTCACAGATCAACACTGCAGTGTTTACTTAAAGACTCACTGCCATGCTCTTTGTACACCTAATCATATTACTGACCAATTAACCTAATTAGCTGTGAGATCTTCAACCGGGTCAGGCAGCTGTGAAAGTGGTGATGTCATCAAATCCAAACAGAGTATTCAATTCAACAATCACAAGCATTACTTTGCATTATTTTCTGTAAATATGGAGGTTAAATCATTTGAAATCCTTCCTTTTACATTCAAAAATAGGTTTGTTCTTTCATGACTGTAAAAAAAAAATGGAAAAAAAAAGAAAAAACAGCTTTGTTTTTTTGGCATATAATATATAATACAAAGAAGGTAATTCTGCCTTTTGGAAAGTAATTCTTTGTCCATTCAGAGGCAATAAAGAAAAGGACAGGTGGCAGTATTAACCATGTATACAGTGTAAACAAGAGGTGTATAGGCAACAGTGCCTCGGTAAAATAAAAACAAAAGCTTTGTGGACATTTCAAACAGAGTGGTTTTTCTGTTGGAGCACTGACAGGAATTCAGCAGGAGTAATTCACTGTGTGCTAAATGTTATTGTCTCCCTTTCATCATCCATTACAGCTCAGTTCTGCACTGAAGCCGTCAGGAGTTAAGCGTCAGTCGGGAATTTTCTCAGCGTTTTAATGAAATATGCTATTACAAACCCACACTATTGCATTAGACTGTAAACAAATAGCGCTTGTTAAGATGTAAGCATTTTCTTGTTTGGATATTATTCTCGGGAAATAACTTCAATTCTGACAATACATTTCTGCAATAAGAAACTCGCTCGACGGGATATTTCATCCCCTATCCGATTGTGTGTGCATGCGTGTGTGTGCGCGCGTTGTAAGTCTGTTAAGCCAACCTGCATGCAAGGAGCAGCTGCCTCCCAATATTAGCGATCCACATACAATAAATCTCATTAAACACAAAATTGCACACAAAGCTGGAAATGCAAATTGTAAACTGCACCGATTATGTTCAAGGAAAACCAGTGTATGCTCAGCGTGCGTGTGTGTGTGCGTGCATACCATATGAGTGTGTGTATGCTACGCTTATAGGCATGTGAGGGCATGTGTACCACTAAATCTATACATCTGCCTCTCCACGCGTGCCCAGAGATGCCAACCAGGAGCCAAGGCGAAACCTGATCGGAGCAGGTGGCGTGTGCAGTGACCTCACAGAGCCCAGATGGACCAGCGCTACACAGTTAGTAATATAGGGGCAACATGGGAGTGACATGGAGAGTAAAGGTAGGCGGCTTTGTGAGTGCGGCACGGATAAAACGCTCAACGACCTGGACTTAAGTCCTTCTGTGATCAAAGAAAAAAAAAAACGTGTAGATGAAGTGGGTCGACACTGTTTGTGTGTCTAACAAATGTCTGTTAGTGCAATGACAGGAGATACCGGTTGGATAGACACCTTAAGGTTCATGGTTTACTAAAAAAAAAACGAAAAACAAACCTTGGTAAGAGACCAAAGCCGGTAAATGATATTTCTCCCTCTCCTGAAGCAGCATGAGAGTCACAGTCAAATGGCTTATCTGATTGTACTCTTCATGCCAATTAAGACTACAGAAGCTAAATATAGATGTACTATGATTTTCTTTCTTGAATGGCCTTTGATTCATTTTCTGTTGTTGTTGTTTTTTCTGCGAACACTTTCTTGCTGTAGGCTGGCTGTTTATGTATGCAGTGGTGGAGATGTTTGTAGATATAGGAGTCGTTTCAAAAGAGGTGGGGGGGGGGAAACGGGGCTCCACAGCCCTACTGAAGTACAGGTAATCTTTGAAATGCCACAGCTTTTGTTTCAGTTGCAGAGAGCTGATAATGAATGGCTAAGTACGAGGGGAGACTGACGCAGGCTTGTGCAGAATGAGAAATAGGTGATGTTTAGTAGCCCACGTCAGAGGAGAAAGTCGGGCCAAAGCACTGCGAGCTACGGGACCAACATCACGACGTGTTCAATCATTCTGCTCCCGCGAATGGCCCGGGGGTCTTCGCTTTCTCACCACCCTTGCGTTTAGCTGCTCTTATAGATATCACCTCGCAAGAGGCCCAAATCTACAAGATGGAGTGTGAAAAGTTGCCAGCACCTATTTGATGCATAGCATGTCTAAAAAACCGCTGCTAACGGCTTGAATATTGCAAACTGCTGAGCGTTAACCTGCTTCAAGATGGACCATAAAGAAAGAAAGAAAAGCGACCGCTGATCCAGTCTCTAAAAAATCAAGCAATGTGATCTGTTAAATGAGAAACATACGTGCTTTCACAAGGAGGCAAACTACAGGGTTTTTTTTTAAACAAAGGATTAGAGGAATTCAATGAAAAGTCAGTTGACAAGAGAAGTCATCAAAGCCAAAATGGGTCTAATCCACAGATAATTATCTTTGTTTGAATATTCAACATGGCCTGACTCGTGGAACAGAGCCGCCTATTTGCATTTCTGGTCTTAGATTGAATCTGATATCAACATTTCTATTTAAGAGCAGAATTTACATGGACGGGTTCTGCGGGTGAAATTAAGATCACGAGTCGACTTCGAACGCATCCTGTTTAAATCCGCGTCAGCTGTGACTTAAACTTTAAGTGGCCGTGTCTTGTTTTGCGTTATCTCTAAATTGTGTCACTGGCCCTTTGAGAGTGTGCTTCTGCACACCATGGGTGTGTGGGTGTGTGTCTGGTGGGGGGGGGGCGTGATTCATATCACTTTGTTGCATGTCATTGCTCCCAACTGAATCCATCCTAGCATCTGGCCATTTTAATACATGGTGGTTGGATTCATATGAATTAATTGAGGGCAGAGGTAAAGCAGAGTGCTGCATCTATTCATGTGCCACTCAGGCCTATAATAAGACAGCTTATGCTTGGCATGGCGCGCTGTCGGTGGATGTGCTTTCGGATCTTCGGTGCACGGGGTCGTTTTTCCACTGGATGAGTCATATTGTTTTCTCCTTATTAGGGGACAGAGGAGGAAGTGGTCACATTTCGCAACAGTCAAATGCTCTACAATAACATAGGATGTAATGCCATACAGAACTGGCTACAGGAAATGTAATGGATACACAGTGCATGCATGGGCTTCTGATATGGTGTCGAATTAATACACTGGGTTGCGTTCAAAGTAGGCTTTGCTAAATCAGAAAAAAAAGACAAAATACAAATGGGTTAGACTTTTAAATGTATGGCAACTTTTTAAAAACAGTTTTCATCTTTTACCTCTCAGCACTGCAGTGCATGTCCACACATCTGCTCAGGCTCCATAGGCTGCCAACTC